CCTATGTCCCACACTACTTGTAACTACCACTTGTGCAATTTCCCACAAAATAGGCAGATTCATATGTTTTTTCATGTAGATATGAACCATGAATTCTGAAAAGCCTTTCTATCCAACATATCCACTGTTTCCATAGTTCTATTGGCAATCATATCCACAGTGCCAAATCCCCAATCACTCTGCTGCACCTTGGCAAATTGTAAATCCCTTTTTATAAATTGACTTTACCAATTGTGACCCTCAGCCTTTAGAATGAATTCAGGGACTATCATTACTATTAAAAATCTTGAAATTCACCGAGGAAAGATTCCTTGCCCACAAATTCCTTCTGTGGGATCTGCAATGCAGAGAATCACTCTCTGCAGCTGCCACTGACATTCCATAGTAATAATATATATGCCTTTTGAAGAGTTGTGAGCTATGTGAAGGCTTAAGGATTTCTCCCCCTCATACTTGCAAACTAATGCAACATTTCAGCTTAAAATGGTATTTTAAATTTCAGCAGAACTAGGAAAAAAAAAAAAAAAAAGATGGAGATTTCTTTTCTTGCAAAATTCCTTGTAGCAAAAATTCAAACCTATGCCATTTCCAATACATTTGTACAGTGCCTGTATTAGGTTAGAGTCTGAGATGAAAGATAAAAATTTGATTTACTTTGGCAGCTTTCAGCTAGAAATCATGCCTGTTAACACTGAAGAAAGTTTCTATTACAGTTATTTCTTATTCTGCAATGAGATATCAGTGATGTAACAGCACAATTAAATGACACACACACATGAAAAGTACCCATCTAGAGCCTGGTTGCTTGACGATCATCCTCCTTTAGTACGAGAGAATTGAACTAAAGGGAAATATTTGCCAAAAAGTACTTAACTGCAATAAAATTATTTTTTAAAAAATCATCTCATACAAGTAAGACTTTGCCAACAAAATGAAAAAACTAAGAAAATTAAATTCATATGTTCTAAAACTTATCTCAGTACTAAACAGTAAGGTCTCCACTGAGATTAATATTGTAGCAAAAATACTGTATTAATGGAAATTTTTGAGATCTGAATGACAAAAGCCTAGGAAGAATATTGGGAAAATTTGTTACATGAATAAACAAAATCTCCCTGCTCATCTTTTATTTTGGTTTCTGCCCTCTGTGATGTGTATATTAACAGCAAAGCAAATACAAAATTCAATTTTCAAAAGCCATCTTCTCTACTAAGAGTTTTCGAATCTGTCACTAGAGAATAAAAAAATCCCTGAGAGGAGAGCACAATGAGTGATTAATACATCCACATGTAGTAACTGTTTTCTTCAGTTATGAATTTACTTTTAATGAGCACTTTATAAAAAAAAAAGGTCATTAATAGAAAATTGGACAACTTTTGGTTCCAGAGATAGTCCCCAATATACTTGTGGCCTATCAAAAAAGACCTTCAAAATAAGGCTAATTTTTGGTGCATTTTCACTGTTTTGATAGCAGAGTATAGAAAAGGTGTCTCATCCACCTTTTCAATCATGTTATGGACATTAATCCATGAAACTGCAACACACTGCAGGTTTAAAAAGCATGAAGATTTAGTTTCCTCTTGTGTGTCAAATAACACAAACTTCAGAGTTGTGTATGGTTTTTTGTGAGCTTCTCACAGAGAATCTCTCCCCCCAACTTAGCACGCAGTCATTACCCCACACTTTGCAATGACTGAAGCTTGAAGTTTGTTTGGCAAGAAAGAAGCCCTCCACTCTCTTCAGAGATAACAAAGGGTTAACTTCCCAACTGGAGAAGTCTGACTGTCCTTGCTTCACAGTAGGATAGTGACAGATTCCAGGAAAATGCAGCCAAGTAAGGAAAACACTTTGGTCAAGCAAATATATTAGGCAAACCTCAATGTCAGAAGCACAAAGACTGGAACAGCAGAAGCCTGCACAGCAAAGTTAAAGCCTAGTTATTTTTACAGAAATATTTTTCTCACTTAAAAATCATCTCAACAATCTTGGGAGGTAAAAGAAAGTTGGTTGCTCAATAGCTTAAAAGTTAGAATTAAGCCCAGCATCAAAATAGTTAAAAAATAAATCTGCACTTCAGGCCACAAAGCACTAATATGTTAAGTTACAGCATCCTTTTTGAAACTGAAGATAAAATAAAAACTTGCAAACATTATAAAATCTTACAATTAAAAACCAGATACTTGTCTGTTTTCACACAGAATAATCAAGGTAAATATCCAGTTCAGGTGTTAATCTCTGTTCTACTATTATCATCGAGATTTTGCAACAGTTGGGATTAATGAAGTCAGGAGAGCAAATAAAAACTCTTTTGAAAACATCCTTTCTCTTCTACTGGTCAGAAAGACCACTGGTTTTATGACCATTTCTTCCTACACATTAAATGGTTCTAGTGGAATAAAATAAAATAAAAAAAAATCATACCACAAGTTAACAGAACAATGCATTCCCCAATCAGAGGATACAAATTTTATACATGCATGTTTTAATCATCTGAATTTCAGTCCCATTTTTATATTAAACAGAAAATACAACCTAAGCCTATTCACTCAGGAAAAAAAAAGTATTTCCCCAGAGATAAAAATATGAAGGAGCAAGGAAAAAAAAAAAAAAAAACAACCATGAGAAACACAAGAGCTACATTTATAGGAACATACCCATTTACAAAATGTCTTTTTTTAAATGGTTGCCTTTCAAGCTGTGCCAACACCACAACAAACATAAAAGATCTGCCTCCCTAGCAGATTTAGAAGAATAAGCAATTACTACATTAGAGAAAATAGGCTCAGAAATTTCCACCAATTGGTAGTTGGCAGGAAAGCAACTCTTTATGTCCCAAACCCCAAAAAGCCCTCCAGCATCAACCTCGACGTATACCAGCAGTGAACAAATGAATTAAAAAAAACCCTACTGCCTCAAACTTGAGTCAGCCCTTTACTTTGGGGAAAGAAATAAAGAAAAAATAAAACAAAACAAGAGCTCTCCATCCTCCTAGGTAAGTAAAAGAAGGCTTTTATTTTTGTCAGGGTGTTTGAAGTGATAGGTCTCTGTTTCGGGGCACTCCTTCTCACAAGCTCTTAAAACACAGTTACACTGTGGTCGTGCCACAAAGGCTCCTTCCCAAAGTCTGTGGGAAAGCACAAGGCCTGTCCTCCCAATGGAAGGGAGATCTCCACGTTTATGCACTGCTGCTGCTGGAACAGTTTACACAGAGAGGCAGCTGCATGCAGCAGCTCCCCGCAGACTGCTCACAGTCGGAATTCGGGATTTCTCAATCCTGCCTGAGAACACTCCTACAGCTGCAGTCCAAGTTCACTCACTGCCTTTACCACAGAAGGGGAGGAGGAAGCACTGCAGCAAATAAAAATCCTATTTTGGAGCATTACCAATGCTTGGTCATCCTCACCATGGACTGAACCCAGTCATCATCCACCATGGGTGATGGCAACATGAAAGCAATTAATGTGATATTTAATGTTAACTACTTTTATTGATCCCTGATGCACTACTGCATCTTCCATATCAGTGCAGATCAGTGGGTTTCTTGCTGCTTTAACAATGCAAGAAGAGATGAATGTGAACTGACAATCCTAGCTTTTGCAACTTCCCTTACTGACTCCTGACTTACTTGAGAAGACAAAAGTCTTGAGACAGTGTCATAACACTTCATGGGCAGAAGAGACTCATTACTGCATAATAAATATCCTCAAAGCTATTTTATTATTAATTAAATTAAACATAATCACTGTTTGGATGCCTAGAAAGGATTCTCTGTTAAGAAGTAGCATTAACAAATCTCATTTAAAATCAAATCTATTAGGAGAACTAAAGAGCACATCATTGTGCCACCAAACACTGAAAATCAATATTTTCAGTGATGCCTTTGCCTTGCTACATTTTCATCAAATCACAGAAGTTGTTTTTTCACATATTTCCCTACAAGAAGCGTAGGGACACAGAAAATCCAGGCACACAGAACATAAGCAGAGACAGAGCTCATACGAGGCAATCTAAGTGCACTTGTTCTGTGATACATTTGTTAGAAGCTTGCACCACCAAAAAAGTGCCTTTTTTGCATTAAACATAATAAAAATATTGAAAATAAAAATTCCCACATCTCAGAACACAACTGGAACTTTTACAAGTACTTCATGCAGATGTATAGGTATACAGGTGTATATAAATACCTGTTGAATGAGCAAGGGTATCAATGTTTAGTCAACAGTACAAGAGTCCAGGTGCCTGATATTTGATCTACTCTGCCCCTGTGTTGCTCTATTACTAAAGTCACAATTCTTCAGAGTTCCACAGCAGTGTCAAATAAAAGAATCAGGTATCAAAGTCCAGTTCTATGAAGAGCTGAGTCATGAATGTGACTGATCAACACTAAGTGTGTTCCTGACACTTTAAACTGGTGCAGCAGAGCATCCTGTGGGCCACTCCTTCGTATTTCTGTGCAAGAACACACACTTACCACATCATTAACCCTAGCTTTGTTTTAGATAAAACTAAAAGGAAAAAAAGCAAGTTGCAAAGGTGTGACCACCGTCTCAGACATTAATTTCAGATACAATTCTTGACCTCAGCTCATGTCAGTTACTACCTCTGGAAACAGCAATCTATGGAAGTGAAATGGAAGGAGACACTGATATTTTTCTTATACCATTCAGCCACTATATGGTAGTCTGAAAACACAGATATCTTAACAAGTTCCAATGTTTCAAATAAACTGTATTACTTAATCAATAGTCACTTTTTGAGCAATGCAAAAAGGCTAGCATAAAAAATAACTTGCTTTACTTGAATGTAAAGATCCATTTATTTTACACTATATACAATTCTAATTTTGTTGTGTGTATTAATATTTTAATAAAACTTTTAAAAGTTGATTTTTTTAACTGTCATTCAGAAAGAGATTAAAAGCATCCACAGTAATAAGAATTGAACTTATGAAAACTGAGCATCTCAGATTATTAGATGGCCACAGCAGTTTATTCTCCTACCTGCTTCCCATCCAGTGTACAAAGTCTCTTGACTACACCCGAGTCTAACTTAATGGCTTCTGTGATGTCATTCAAGACCTGTTCAAAGGAGTGAGCAGTCTTCTTGTTCAGCAGAATTCTCACAGCTTTCCGTGGCTTTACCCCACTCCTAATAACAGTCACCAATTTGGGCTTAATGAAATCTTTACTCTCCTTCACTTCGCTCCTTGTGGATGTCAAGGACGTCAAGGACCGACTGGACCCAGTCCTTATGTTCACACACCAGTTCGGGTTGACATTCTTGGTGTAATCAACTTTGCGGTAGGGTTCATTGGATGCACACACATAGCTCTCACCTGAAAAGAAGAGGACATGTTCACAGTTCAAGGGGGTTTGCAGTTAGTTTGTCAACTTAAAAAACAGAAAAAACAAAAAAGACATATTTTGGGAATGATTTTTCTGTATTTTGACAAGGAGGACCATAAATTATCAGGGCTTTCCACCCTAAGAACACTCTCATACAGTGCTTTCAATAGATTTTAAAAGACCTCTGGTATAAAAAATAGTAGGGGGTAATGAGGAAGTTCCAGACATTTCACATCTTTTGGGTTGAGTAATTTTGCAAGTGCTTAAATTACTTGAGCTCAACACATGACATTAAGAGCATTCTCCTACAGCAAATTTCCAGGTCCTCCCCTACATATATATATATATATCCATCAACCATGTACTCCAAGATATGTACACCCATGTCTTTGTTTATTTTACAACAGCAAGTTTTAACACAATAAATTTAAGCACCTCAAGGCCCTTACCCTGAAAGGCATGTTAACTTACCAGGAGTTACTGCCTTTCTACCAAGGACATATATTTGAAACCCATCAATTTGGATATTTTTTAGAATA